GATGTTGGTTGTTATATGACATTAATATATGCTATCTCCAAGAAACCAAAACTAAAGAAATTGGAATTTGACTGCACACATTAATATCTTTCGAAACAGTGGCACACAAGTGCATTGAGTACGCTGTTAAATTTTGAATTGTTTTTTGTTCGTAAAATTTTAAATACTTTTATATTCGTACATTGTGAAAACGCTGCAAAAATATCACTTCGATCTTCGCCCTTCTGTTTGTCTGATCCTGGTTGACATTAAGAATCTAACCATTTTCAGAATGTATAGAATATGTGCAATGAAAGTGGTAAATGGATTTATCAATCAGTTAGTTAAATGCTATACGTGATACTCGCATGGATGATCATGTATCTTTCGATAAATGACTGACAAGACAGATTTTTTTTCTTGTAGTAGGTTGCCATTTCTTTCTTCGGTAGACAGGTTGCCAACTAAGGCTAAAGAAACCAGTCTGTCCAGACATTTAACCCATAGCTGGGGGAGAAGAAATGGATTCATACTTTACCCAAGGATATTTGTGCGTAAGTGAATCTAGCAGACTCGACTGGAATTCGAACTCGGCTCTCCGAGTTAACACTCCGAACCGATATCAATTACATAAGGCAGGGAAGAAAGGAAGAAGGAAGGAAAGAAAAGAAGAAAACGGGTAAAGAAACAAAGAAGAAAGGAAGTAAACAAAAGAAAGAAAGAAAGAAAGAAAGAAAGAAGGAAGGAAGGAAAGAAAGAAAGAAGGAAGGAAAGAAAAAAGAGAGAAGGAAAGAAATAAAGAAAAAAGAAAGAAAGAAAGAAAGAAAGAAAGAAAGAAAGAAAGAAAGAAAGAAGGAAAGAAAGAAGGAAAGAAAGAAAAAAGGTTAAAGAAAAGAAAGAAAAAAAGAAAATGCCTAATAAGTACTACAACGAAATGTAACTGTTCATTTTTCGCTTAAACACCTGAAACATAAGCTTACGGCCATAATACGTTAAAACACTGGTTACTGTATGATCTTTGAAGTTATGCAGCGTCAAGACTCCTGGTCGCTAACTAGATGGATATAGAGATTTTCAAAGCGTAGCTTAGATGTGGCCCAAGGCTGAAAGTATGAGGCACCCAGTGAGGATCGAACTCCCTATTCAGTCGTAATTGTTCGTAGCAAGACAATCTTGCTAATCATTAGACCGCTTTGAGGTGCCCTCTATCTATATAGATATATTCTGATCGTAATTACTACGATGTTGACTGAGGGAGCAATTCTCCATGAAGCACCAGTTCAAAGTTTACATCGTACAGCAATTCATCTACTTCCCAACAGGTGGAAATTTACACCAATCCAAAAATTCGTATTATATGTTTGATATTCCATTATCATCCGCCCTTCTCTTTTGCAACACCCACTTTCTGAAATGCAGTCCTAAAAAGTATATGTGGTATATTCAAGAAGTAATCTGCTGTGGTACCGTATCAGCGACCGTTTCAGACGGGGTTTAACACTGATTTTAGATTGATTGCAGAAACAAGAAATGTAGATCGCTTTATCTCTGAGGTGGCATCTGCACTATATTTCTATCTTTTTTTCCGGTAAAATTGTATAAAAATTCCGGACAAGCAGTAGGAGGTGAAAATGAGGTGCATCCACAGGTCATTCAAACACTGGATAAGTAAGGACTATTATTAATGGTAAGCCCCTAAATGAGGGAACTATTGCATCAAATCAGATCTCAATTCGACACTAGTTCTACTCATCCCATTTGCTAACGTTCATGGCCACGGGAAAACATTGACCCAAAATTAAAAGATTATATCTCGAAATTCAAGATCATACTTAACTTGCATAATACCATAAAGACTTTAAATTTTATCGAATTCCTTTCGTTCTAGGGACTGAAACAAGACAAAACGGAGGGAGTTTAACAAGTACTAAGACGGAATGTAACAGTTTCTTTATAATTTAAACACCTTAAAGATAAGATTACGGCTACACTGGTTATTGTATGATCATTAAAGTTATACAACGTTGTGATTGGTCACTATGTAGATGGGTGAGCACTTGGGAATATCAGGTACTGTAAAATTGGATGTGTGTGTGGTAAAATAGATAATGGTTCGGAATTGATAATCGGAGAGTCGTGTTCTAATTTCCTTTGAGTTCCTTATATTTACTTAGGCGCAAGGATTAGTCACTCTTTTTCTTTCATTCATTCTTTCTTCCCACATTTCTTTGCTTTTAAATTTTTTCTGTACTTCGTTTTTCTCTGTTTTGCTTCTTCTTGTTATTCTTTTTTAATCCTTCGTTCTTTTCTTAATCCCTTCTTGTTTTGTTTTTCAATTTATTTCATTTAGTCTTCCCTTCCTTCCTTCCTTCCTTCCTTTTTCCTTCCTTTTCGTTTCGTTTTCTGTTTTCTTTCTTTCCTTTTTCTTTGACCTTTCTTTTTATTACTTTTTCTTTCTTTGTTTAGTTTACTTAATTTCTTTTTCTTTCCTTCTTCCTTTCTTTGCTGCCTTTCTTTTATTTCGTTTCATTTCCATTTCTTTCACTTTATTTCCTTTTTTCTTTTCACTTTCTTTTCGTTTCCTATTCTTATTCTTTTTTATTTTCCCTTTCTTTCTTTTCTTTACCCTTTCTTTCATTCTTTTTTTTTTTTGCTTACTTCATTTCTTTCTTTTTCTCCTTCCTTCTATTCTTTCTTTTATTTATTTTCGTTTCTCTTTCTTTATTTCCTTTTTTCTTTCCTCCTTCTTTCTTTTCTCTATCTTTTCTTCTTTTCTTTCTGTTGTTCATTTATTCTTTCTTTCTTTCTTTCTTCCGTCTTCTTTTCTTTCCTTCCTTTCTTCTTTTACTTCTTTTCGTTTGCCTTTCTTTCTCTTCTTTACTTCATTACTTCTTTCTTTCCTTCCTTCTTTCCTTCTTTCTTGCCATCATTTCTTCTTTTATTTTTCGTTTCCCTTTTTCTTTCTTTTTTCTTTCTTTCTTTCTTTCTTTCTTTCTTTCTGTATTTATTTATTTATCTCCGTTTCTCTGTCTGTCTGTCTGTCTTTCTTTTGTTCTTTTTGCGCACATTCCGTTCTTTTTTCTTTTTCCCCATCAGTATACATCTTTGTTATATAAAAAAAAAAAAGAAGGAAAGGAAAGAAAACCATGAACGTCATCAGAGCCTTACATCGGTGTTCGAGTCGCATAACAACGCTGTCTCATCCGGTATAGATAAGCAACTCCACTCCTCTTCTTTACTTTCAGTGACCTTCCATCATCGTCTTCCCACTATCTTTAAGAACCTCGGTCAACAGAGTCTCACCTCTCACCCATGATCCTACATTTACAAACTGAATCATTCACGCCCCTACGTATTCTTTCGATTCGTACACATCTATCTATTCCTTTTTCTACAGTCAACACATCTCCCTCTTCCGCTTCCCCGCTCTTTCATCTCGCTTCTACTTTTTTTGCATTTTTAATTCTTTATGCTAACAAGATAAAGAGTAAATCCGTCAACGCAGTGTATTGACTTTCCAAACATTGCAGTCTGATGGTTTGGCTTGCTAGAGCCCACTTCACACATCCAGTTTACAGCAGGGACGGGACTGTGTGTTCCCGGGACGCATAGAGAAAGCCCATTCACGCAAATTACGGTGACACGGCGTATTTTTAGATAAAACACTTCCAGCGAAATCAAATTAGAACATCGTGTTTGAACAGTAATGCCACCTGGTGTGAGAATCAAAACAATCTGGAGTTGTGTACCTTACAAGCGTTGATGTTGAAGAGACGATGAATTAGACTAAGAATGAGACCAGAGTAAAAGGCTACAAAGAAAGACAATTGAAAATAAAAGTGTCGGGAGGAAGGAAAACGACATGGAAATGAATAAAAGCCGTCGAAAATTGGAGAAAAAAATTGTAGGAAGCAGAAAAAAGAAAAAAAAAAGAGCAAGAAAATCGATGCCAAAAGCATTGCAATAGTGACATACAAGGAAAAACTAAAATATTTAAAAAAAAAACAAAAAAAAAAGCTTAGAGTAGGTGCTGAAAATTTTTCGGCCTAATATACTTTATAAAATCAAGATTCACATGCCAAGGCTGTTTACTGTGACCTGAGAGACAATTTTCCCGGCAGAATCTATCTTGTATGTTTATAGGCATTTTATTATCAGTGCACTGAATATTTTTTAACATTAGGTTTCATCATTCTACTTTTTATATTAGTGACAAAATCCAAAGAAGAATCTACAATATTATCGGACCTAACCTGGCATCTCGGCTTTAATGACTTCCCCGTCACCGTAACGTACCTTCCCTCTGATTTTTCTAAAAATAATTTCATGGTGGTTGTTCTAATCAGCTTTTCTTTTTGATACCATGACTTCGCGAATTTAAGCACAGGACTAGATTGGCGGCTAGATCTTATAATTTTGCTATTGAAATTTCTAGATGCAACCGTAAGTTCTATTCTAATTGTTTCTTCTCTCACACGTGTCGCCTGTGTATCTCTGCTACGATTTCTTGCTTTCTAGTTTACTACGATATTCAAAAAGTTTAATGCGACATCAATTACCATTCTCTGTCTTTCTAATTGATTGTATTTGATTGTTCAAAAACATTTTCTCTATTTCTTTCACTCCCAGTAATCCTTGCATCTTAGTGGCTTTATTACCTTGCTTGGGGTGAAACGATTAAAGAAAAAAAACCTATGATGAAAAATGTGGCAGAGAAATCCAGAGTCGCATTGAAATAACGACAGATTATTTCCAAACGCAAAGCAAAAACTCTAGGAGGTAAATTTCGTTAGGAAAAAAAATAGTTTGATGAGCTTCTATGTAGTATCAATGCTCTTATATGGCAATGAATACCGAAGAATTTTTTTTTTTTTTTACACATGAAGAGATTTACGGAAACAGATAAATGGTTAAAAAAAACAAAAAAAAACAAAAAAAAACAATGCTCATAAATCCATGGACATAAAATGTGAACACCCTGGAAGTTTTCAGAAGAATTAGATCAAATAGGAAACATGTAGTTAGAATCAGAGAGATGCACTTTAGAATTTTGGGGATACGTAATGAGGAAAGATGACTTGGGGAATTTGACTCTCACTGGTTAGACTGAAGGCAAAAAAGAGCAAAGGAAAACAGCAATCAACCTATGTAAAGCGCATGTGACAATAGATTCCAGAACATGGACTAGGAGAGTTAGTCACGGAACAAATGCTGCTTAAGCAGCCTATGATTGGAAGTTGTGGGGAAATAGGATTTCCTACTTCCCGAAAGGACACTGCATACAACAGAAGATGTCTGTAAGTCGGCCAGGCTAAAAACTTTTCAGAAAGTCCTATATTTTTCTTAAAAAAATGAGTATAAAATGAAAGAATGAAAAAGAATTGAAAGAGAAAAATGGATGTGACGGCATCTGAAGAAAGAGAAGAAAATAAAGATAAAGTTAAATTGTGAAGTGGAGGAAACAATAAGGGCCTCCCAGTATGAATAGAACTGAATAATGACTTTTATCCCTTCAGGAGAAGACGGGTGATCGTCACAGTTTTTTTTTCTTTCTTAAATAGTATTACGCAATTTTATTTACGTTTTCATTCTTAATCTTTTTTCTTTCTTTCACACTAATCTATACAGGGTGCGATAGATAAATTGACGTCTAAATTACACAAAAAATGAAAATAACACTGACAGCTTATTTTAACAGATATATTTACACAAAAATAATTTGAAATACTAAAGACCTTACACCATACGAAATGAACTAAGTCCGACAATTATTTCAATATATTTTATTGTCATACGTTATTTATATATACACAAATATTTAAGTAAATGCTCTGTTTATAATAAACGGTATTAACCGGCCTGAACGTCCGAGAAATTTCATAGAAAATATCTGCCCTCAGACAGGAATCGAACCTGCATCCTATACAGAACCGGTATATAGCCTGACGTGCTATATCAGTTTAGCTACGAAGCAGCATCTGGTTAGTTGGCTCGATTTTACTGCTTGTAAAAATAGTATGTGACGTCATTTTTTACGTTAAGATACGCTTCGAGCAGATATAGACGTTCGAGGGAAATCATGGGATGTTTGTTGTTTAAAAGACAGAGCATTTGCTTAAATAGTTATATATATATATATATATATATATATATATATATATATATATATATATATATATATACAAACATATATATATATAACGATAAATATATTAAAATATTAAAAAGTAAATTTATTCAATAAAATCGCCATCGGCTTCAACCACGGCCTTTAGACGACTTCAGAATCTCCTGCAACTCTTCTGGGCGGTCTCCTTTTTTAAGTTGGTGAATGCTGCCATAATTCTCGCTTTCAGTTCATCTTTGCTGTTACAAGGGTTTTTCTTGGTCCCTCGCCCAAATGCACCTCACACATAATAATAATCAATGGGTTGCAGTCTGGAGAGTTAGGTGGCCAGATGTAAGGTGTCAGTGATCATGACTGGTTTTTCCTGCTTATGTTGCATCGTGCAGAATTCTTTTACCAAACATAGGGTTTTCCAGCAGCTACCCTCTTGAGCCAGAGCAGCACTACCACCTCAAGGCACTTGATGTGGTCCTCCGTATTGAGTCTGAAGCCTTCACCAACATATTGGAGAGTGAGTTTTCCAAGTTGCCCTAACTTGGAAATCACAATTAGACTTTTTTCTAATCCTCCGCACTATTCTCAGATTGACACCCAAACACTCTGAAATGTTCGTATTGGAACTTCCGGCGCGAATGCCAAGCAGTACAGCATGGGAATTGAGTTATGGCGCTATTTTCTCAATTGATCCTATTGTACTCTAAAGTCGATAAAATCAAAACAGAGAACTTGCGCGCGCGAAGTAAAAATAAAAATGACGACAATTTACCCATCGCACACTGTATATAAACATGTGTGTGTGTGTGTGTCTTTGTGCGTACATACGTAGGTTATATAATAATAATAATAATAATAATAATAATAATAATAATAATAATGGAAATGGAAAAATATGTGAACATTATAGAATTTTACGTGTTTGTTCTGGTTAGCAGAACTTTAGACAAAAAGTGTCCAATAGATTACTCTTCATTGTGCATTAAATTTGTGCTCCCAGTGAGGAAATAATGTATACTCATTTAATATATATATATATATATCGAGGCGGTGTAATGGTTAGCAAGCTTGGCTCGCTAGAACAATTACGACTGAGTAGTGAGTTCGATCCTCACTGGGTGCCCCCTAATTTCGGCCTTGTGCCTCATCTAAACTACGCTTGGAAAATCACTATATATATATAATTTAGGTAGCAATCATTTTCTTTGCCTGATTTATTGAATAAATCGGACAAGGAATGTCTGTTAAATTTTCAGTCAGTGTCTCGCAATGCTGGGTCGAAACTTACAATGTCTATATAGAAATATTGTGTAATGTTCTGAATTTCGACGATAGTTTTTAAGCTAAACAGAGAGGAATAGAGCCAAACGGCAACTAATAAAAAATTATATAGACCAAAAATAGCAGGACGTTGTGGAGAGTCATAAAAATGAGAGGATGTTTTAGTTTCAAATTATGATATCTTTTTGCTAATAATATTATTATCTAAGAATCTTTCAAGAACTGAGTCTGTTGTTAATTCAAATATTTTTTTCAGGCTGCATTTGGTCTTGATTGTCATAAACCTAAAATAATTGAACTGAGAAAATTTTGAGAATTTTGCGGGGTTTTTTTGTTTGTTTTTTTTTCAGGTGAATGTGCTCAATAGATAACTAAATTAAGAAAAGTTCGAGTGATTTATATATATTAAATCTGTAATTAATCAAGTAATTTTAAAGTAAACAAATTGTATATATATATATATATATATATATATATATATATATATATACGAAATATATATATATATATATATATATATATATATATATATATATATATACGAAATTATATATATATATATATATATATATATATATATATATGTATGTATATATATATATATATATATAGGCACCAATCCTTCTTTCGTGCACATTTCATGGAATACGATAGATTTAGTTTTTCATACAATTTCTCTTGTGATCTATTTTTTTTTCTTTGTATAAAAACTGTCCGAATGTTCTTTGTAGCGTTTTTAGCTATACATTCAGCCATTTTCAAGGTTGAAATATATTAACTGTTAACAAGAAATAGTTTCTTGCATGTATGTATTTATATAATGTTTTCATTTTCAAAACACGGATATAAGATATGGTGTCCATGTTCATAGTTGATATTATTGAGTTCTTTTTTGTTTTTTTGTTTTTGTTTTT